TAATTGTTGTAATAATAATAATAATAATAATAATAATAATAATAATAATAATAAATATTATTATTACTATTATTATTTTTATTATTTTTATTTTTATTATTTTTATTTTTATTTTATTATTATTATTATTATTATTATTATTATTATTATTATTATTATTATTATTATTATTATTATTATTATTATTATTATTATTATTATTTATTATTATATTTTTGCCCCCCAGGCCCTGATGTGGGTCAGTGAACTGTGCCCGGGTGGGCTAATCCCCGTAAAAAAAAAGAAGAAAAAAAGAAAAAAGAAGAAGGAACATCGTATTATGGCCATTCTCCACACTTCCGTGGGTTAGCCGTGAATACCTGATTGCAGCTCGTCATGCTGTGTGGTCTCTTGCTGTCTCTCTAGTCAGTTTCTTATACAGTATTTGAGGTAATTTCTTTCAACCTCTACTCATGTCTTTCTTTGGCCTACCCTTTCCTTTCCTCCCCATGCATCTCTCGACTCAATTGTTTCTCCTCCATTCTCCCCATTCTCTTTGCAGAACCTCACCAATACTCTTAATACCTAGCCGCCCAATTAGCTCTGAATACGGTTTATTATATTGCAGTGTCACATTACACATCCATCTTACCATTCTTATTTCAACTTGTTTAAGCCTACGTCTGTCATCCATTTTGACTGCCCATGTTTCACTGCCAAAACATCATACTTCTCATATCGGTTGCATAACTAATTCCTTTAAAGCGAAGAGATGGTTCGCTTGACACCAACAAATGCTTCAGCTCCCTAAACTTCTTCAAACTACTCCTATCTCGTGTAGGTGAGCTACTGTAGCTTCAGTACCACCGCCAGTATCGAATCATCATGTCACCCAGGTAACAGAACTCATTGACTCAGTCAAGGGATATATCCCGAATGCTGACTTTCTCCAGTCTTGCTAAGGCCACATAATTACCTACACTCTTGTGTACCCGCCTTCCACACTCACTGCACATAACTGACTCGCTGCCAACACCCCAGAATTATGATGAAATTTTGATTCGATGGTATCTCTTTGTTACAAGCAAACCAACTAACCAGATATCAAGGGAGTAGGCACTGGATCATCATCAGAGTGGGTGTTAATTTGACAGACCAAACTGAATGGTAGAAATGACGTCAATAAAATGGCCGCCATGCTGACTATAAGATTCAACGGATCTTTGATTTGCACAAATTTGTGTCATTTAGTTAGTGAGAATGTCATCTTTTATGTTTTGAGGGTCAAGGACTAAGAATATGACAATAAAAGTGTAATCTGGCCATGTATTGATCAAAAAAAAATACAAATAAAGTCAACTGCTCATCGAGATCACACATATACATCGGTATACAGGTAAACGTGTAATTTTACATACAAACACAAATTCAATCAGTTGTTATATTTCCAGTCGCCGCTTTATACACTAATATTTTTTAGTAGAATCTAACCCTGTATTAATCAACAAGAGCATCAAATAAAGTCAACTGGCTCATTCAGACCACACGTGTATGGAAATGAATATGTTTTATAACGTACAATCAAAGACAAAAGTCGTGTCGCTGTTTCGTCCGAAACATTATGCGAGCATATGTTTTCACCAAATTTCACGACACTACTTTTGTCTTTCATTGTACATCTACAAATTCAATGGCTTGACATGTTCCAAGTCACGTTATAATAAACTCTCATATTATCCATAGTATCTAAGCTGCCATTACTTGTGATGTCAATAATTTCCAGCCGTACTGCAGCAACCCACACAATCACACACGCATTCAAGGATACATATCTGTTGAAACTTAAAACATTTGCAGGCGGCAGGTTTGCATTTCTACTTGCAGCCACAAGCTTCTATCTCTACACATACAGCTGGTATGGCAGGTAGTGTCATCCATATGACTTGGAACCCATTTCCAGTTTCCTTCCATCGCCTCTGTTGATGATGGCGGTCCAGCATTTCTACGGTTGTTACAGTTGTCAACCCCCCAACCACATTTTTGCCTGGTAATTTGCTCTTGTGTAATGTAACATGAAGGCATCCTTCGTCGGTGGAAGATTATCTATCTCCTTTTCCCTTTCCGGAATAAGTCGAATCTTGCGCTGTTAACTAACACCAGCCTTGCAGTCAGGAGCAGAGTAAGGACGGCAGGCGAACTCTTTCCACATCCTCCAGTGAGTCATCATGCCTAACACCATTCATGAGGTGAAGATGTTTACTGAATACCTTCCAAACAAAGCGAAGGGAGATGTATCTGATCCAGTCAGGGCATGGAAACCCAATAAGTTATCTTTTACAGTGTTCGACAACTTCTTAGCTATCTCATGCACTGGATAGCAACGCCGATCATGGGCAGTTCCACTGATCATTCACATATTAGTCTCTCGAACGAAGTGGAGAAAGAGGAGGAAACTTCTGCATCTCTGTAAAATACCATTATGTACTGATATCCTGCCCTTGTAGCCTCGAGTTCATGGAGAATGATGCATGTATCCGCTTCTTTGTGATCTCATGATAGACTGGCCAAGGTACTGTGGATGAAGCTTCTTCAGGAGAAACAAAGCCTCCACCTACAACCAATTCATATCCAATGGGTACCTCCTGGTGTCGTCTTAACAGGTCATTGGACAGGAATGCAGCAAGATATGAACTGTGCCCAAACCTGTGGCAAGGGAACCTAACCATGACTAATTACCTTGCGAATTGGTCTCTTAGTCTACTGACTTCGTTTTACTCTTGTTTGGCTTTTAATGGAACTAGAACCAAGAAATCTGTCAAAGATAACATTTACTCTGGAAGCACCTCGACTGAAGTGTTCAAAAATCAGAATTAGCAAAAGTATCTGCATAATCGGAAAGTGATTTGCAGTTGGTTGGTTTCCCTAAGCTTTGAATCAGTGCATTCCCATCAATCAGTACTAAGGATGCCTATTCAGATCAACTTTCTTATTGAATTTCAATGTCTTGTCAGTCCTTGCGAGAGATAGTGGTAAGACTGACAGTTTTTGCTTGAGAATATGTGACATGTCTACACCTCGTCCTCTATCTTGAACATTAATTAGTCTCTGTAAAAGACGTCTGTCAACTTTAATGAGTTTCTTGCAACTTGAAGTAGTGTTCACCGCACAGTCATATAGCCTTGTAAAGGTTTTAGAAATGCATTTTGTAATGCGTGAAAGAATGGTACTGTTTTCTCATTTAAGCGAGTTTTCACATGTTCGGTCACTTGGTTAATTCGATCCACGTGACTTTGCTGTCAAAGAGCTATCTGAATCTCATCAGTTGCTGCGTCATTCGTGGTCAAGGAAATCAACAGTCTGTCAAAGGCTGTAATTCTAGTACTCTCAGTGCAGACTGCAAAGACGCCAGACCTTTTGAACTGTTCAATATGGCTTTTGACGTCTGCTTCATCACGGCTTACTTTAGATGGAAAACCATTTTTCCCCAGTGGATATAGATTTATCATCTTCAACGCCGAGCAGATTTCTGTAGCTTCTAATATGACAGATCTTTCACCCCATGTGACACCAAACCTATCACGTGCTGTGCCTGTCCTTGTAATCCCAGTGACATATTATTGTTCAGATACCATGATATTTCCACATATGAGTTAGAGAATAACACTAGCTATTTCATTATTATCACAGACCAAGAATACCTTAATTCTGTAATTATGTAATCGTTGTTGAGAAAGAGAGAATAAAACAAATATTTTGTCGTGATATGGTCCGGTGCGATCGCCATTTTGTTTCGTCATTTTGAACACAAATATGGCAACCGACGAACTGACATCCACTCATGTGACATTGACCCATATATGTAGAATATGTCAAGCTGGTTTGTTTACTTTGAACAAAGAGATGCCATCGCATGGCTGGCTGATTACCACGGGTCCCTCACCCACGCAACAAATCATTCATATCGTTTTAGGCATATTTTCACTTCACTCCATCCTTCCGCTTTTAAAATTTATAGAGTGCCTCCTCAATACTATCTGATATCAGCACTAAATCGTCAGTTTACAACAACTCCCAGGCCAAGTCAGTCCCAAAATCTCATGATAGTGGTTCGCGCACCATGATAAACATAAGGGGCTCAAGAGAGGCCCTTGACGAACCCCTACCCTTTCCTCAAATTATTCCCTGTTCTCAACATTTACTTTCTCAACTGTTCCTTAGTCCTTAAACAATGCCACAACTACTCTAATAAGACCCTCCTCCACCCCTAACTTTCGCACTGGCCACTGTACTACTTCACCTGGTATCTTGTCAAATGCCTTCTCTAAGTCTACCAACACAAAGTACAGCATCTCTCCTTCTCTAGATATTTCTATGCACAATAATATTACCACTTTAATTTTACTACTTGTCATTAACCCAGATTGCACTTCTTTAACCCCTAAGCCTCAGTTCACGCAATATGATGTATGCTTATAGGCTTCGGCTCACACCATACGATGTTTTGTAATTTTGCAGTACTGTTTGAATCACCACGCGGGCTTGGCTAGATTATGTTACCAAGTAAGTATTTATCTTTGAATTATTCACACTTGCGAGCCTCCCAGTCTCTGTTTTCAGTAGTTTCTCTGTTTTTGTGATGTAGAGATCTTGCCCTTTGAATTCACCATCATGTTTCTATCCCCAACCCCCAAGCACAAGACAGCGTAGAAAGAGACTTTTGACCATCAGCAGATTCGTGATAAATTACTGGAAGCAGTAAGTATAATTGTAAATAGTAATAACATAAGAAAATAAATGTCCTGTACCTCACTAATACTGCCTATAAATCAGTGTTTATTACCTCGTACTACCAACCTCACCCCATTTCACGCCTATTCTCGACTGTGCCTAGCCACTGTGATGCCAACCTGGGGTAAGAACATGCAGTTCCTAACTATTTATATCGTACAAACTGATGCATGATACATTATCAGTTTGTACGATAAACAATTTATTTATTTTTATTTATTTTTCTTATTTACCTGATATAGCTACGGGGTGTTCCTACCGTAGGACGGTGATTGGGGGTTAATGTCCACTTGTTAATTTCTTGATTACATTTTAAACAACTTTCATAGCATGATCCAACAGCTTCAGGCCCTTGTAGAGTCTGTAATTAAGTGTTATCACGTTTTACCATCTTGTAGAAATCTTAGACTTCTCCAATTGTTCATGGATGATAGTTACAACGATTTTAAGTAAAATGACAACCTCATTAGTTATTTCATCGACTTAAATACCCTGGTCTGCCATAATCAAGCTTTCGAATGTTTATACAGTTGCCTCATCGGTGGCAACTGAAGGCCGTCCTGACCTGCAGTCATCCTCATGTCCGAATTCCTTGACCCAGTTTATTTGGAGACAGAGGGGCCATCTGTGTCAAACACTCATGTGCTGCACAACCATCCGTTGTTAGGAATTTCATAACACTCTGATACCCAACTTTGCCAAAATCTGCAATTTTCTAAGACACTCACTCTGAATCAAAAAATTGAATAAAATATGTGAAATTAACTGAAACAAACACCTAAGTATTCACATCTATGTTATAAAAAATTATAGCCCTTTTATTGCACCCAAAGGAAATAAAATATAAACAAACCTGTAGTAGTAAGGTTCCTCTTGGTTAGCTTCCAGTGCACAGTGAAGTGTGGTTTGTATACCTTCAACAGTATTTTTTCCTATTATGGCATACAAATCAGTGGCTGACAAATTCCCTATAATGTGACGACCTAAATTTGATTGTACTGCCCCTGGGTGGACAGCAAACACCTGGATGTTCGTCTCTGTAAAAAAAGAATTAAAGTTCCACGAATTTGGGATTAATTGAGCCCAATCCTAAAATTATTGTAATAAGTCCCAGATAAAAAAAAACACAATGAAAGTTTGTTCATTACACGTATTATTACAGCTTACACTTTTAGGAGCTTTTAACATCACTGAGACAAAGTACAGCTTGTTAGAATATGGAAAGGTAAATAATTGATTAAAAGTATGTACTGTATTCCATTTCAATGTAAGTATCTATTCATTAAACTCCCAAGTATCTGTCAACATATTTAATGACGTTGCTTTCTCTGTTGAAGGTGGAATACTGAGATTTAAGCAACTTTTAATTTATATTTTCAAGTATTTGCGATCGGAAGAAAATAAAGTGAAGAAAAATTTACCTTTAACTTTTTGTGCAAGTTGGCGAGTGAAAAGAACATTGGCTAGCTTGCTGTTAGCATATGCTTGAACACGGTCATATCCTTTCTTGTAGTCCCAGTCATCAAATGGAATGATACCCACTGCAATGAAAATGATTGTTTTATTATTGTATTAAGATTAAGATACATTTCTTTTTCAAAGATGAAAGTGATATTGCTGTAGGCCCTGTGACTCATTAGGGTCAGTTAGTATACAATTCACTAACACTAAACATTTGGTATGTCAGGAGACAGCACTAGAGCCAGAATTGCAATCTACTATCTTCTTTCTCAACTAATAAATTAAATATACTGTATACTGAATCTTGGTCAGGTCGTCGGTTAGCTGAGGGATTTGATCAGGTAATTGTTGGGGGCGAATACTATTTCCACCCAGCCAGTATGGTTTGCGATACAAACACAAGAGGGACAGTGGGTCCCATTGGCTAAACGATCCATAAGGGACTGTGCAGATCCAACATCCAGTACATTAAGCCTTCGGTACACACTAAGGCAGTGTAGCTGGTACTGCACTTTACTGGCTTCACTTTACCATTCATAGCTAAGTTAACTGAGGGTATAGTATATAGAAAAACCACCCATTCAGGAGGTTACATAAATTTCTTTTGCAACCACTCGGTCCAAGTGAGAAGAAGTATTGCGCCAGGACTTTTTCAGAAATTCCTCTGGATTTGTAGCCCTCAACATCTGGATAAGGAAATTTGCAGTCAAACTTCACTGAAGAAAACTTGAATACCCCAGTTCTTTTTTAGTTAAGGCGCGCTGAGTATGGCTAAAAAAAAATATTACCTTGCTTCCATAATTCATAAACACTGTCACCAAAAACTTTAAACAATACCTTACAATCAACCCACAAACTCTTGTTAAACAAGTTACTCAAAGAACAAATCAATAAAGTTTTTTGTTTCGCCATCAATATTTGTTAACTCTTCGTTGGGGAGTGGTATTAAAAGAATGAGAATAAAGTTTGTTTTAATTGAAAAAATCAAAATTTCATCTCTAAAGAACAATGGCCCCCTGAATTAATTAGTAAACATGAATTACAAAATTAAAATACTTTTTATATCTTAAGAACCGGTAAAATAAAATAACAGAACATAAAGTGAGCATTACTATGATAATCATCAAGTTACGAAGCAATAACAGTGTTCATACATAATTATATTAAGCAACAATGACTGCTTCAACAAGTGGTCACATTTATTCGTCTAAAATTTTCTTAATAAACGAGAAATGGCAAACACACCATCTAAATTAACGAAAGTAACTAAGTAACCAGCAGTGAATGAAAGGTTCAGCGTTAAAGAAATTCAATAGAATAAAAATACTAAAGTAAATGATTAAGAAGTTATTACATGCAAATAAAGGAGTGGTGTGGGTATGAATGGCCTTAGATATAAAGTACAAAATTATTCTGGCAGGTGCAGCTGAGGTATGCGAGTACAAGAGGCTAGCAATGCAAAACAAGAACAAATATATAGCATGTTACAAGTAGATGAAAAGTACAGCCAGCGGACATCTCTGTAATGTAAAGGAAATCCAGAGGTTGGATTTACTTGTATATATTCTTTAGACATTTCCGAAAAAAAAACAGCAACGTTCAACTATAGTGACATCGATTGGAAGAATGCACTTACATTAAATGACCTTAATGATCCTGCAACTCTATTTATAGAAATACTGAAAGACAACTTTCTATTCCAACATGTTAAAGATCCAACTCACTATAGAATGGAACAATCGCCAAAACTGTTGGATTTCATCATAACTAATGAAGAGGGCATTTGAACTCCAGTTGGCACTAACCATCACTCAATGTTGTCCTTCAGATTTAACTGTTATTTGATATATGATGAGAGCAGATATTACAATGGCGATTACGACAGGATGAGGGACGAATTAATGGGTATTCACTGGCCTGATTCATTGAGAAATAGGAACATGGATACTGTACTACCTTGAATATCATAGACTATAAAGTGAACTATATGACTGATAAATATATACCCAAGATCAAATCCACTGGCTTCAGGACTAAAAGGAGGCCGCTATACGTAAACTATGCAGCCGTTGAAAAGGGCAAAACAATCTCAGAATTTCAAAAGATGGGTCGCAACAAATAATGAGCATGGCAGAAGGATGTATGCTAGGGTCGGAAACCAAGCTAAGTAAGAACGCAGAAGAGCTAAAAAAGATTTCCAGAGGCATATTGCAAACAAGGCTTAAGGCTTTCTACCGTCACGCAAAAGTGAATTTAAAGACCCGTGTGGGCGTCTCAGATCTGAGACTTGAAGTTGGTAGTTACTCAGACTCAGATTAGGACAAAGTGGAGACGTTAAATATGATTTTTTCCTCAGTGTTCACAAGAGAGGATGCGAACAACCTCCCTGCGTTTGTTGAAAGACGATTTGACACAGCATTGACGCACATCGATTTCTCAGATGAGTGTACAGTATTAGAGAGAGTTGTGCAATGACCCTTCTGAGCCACATAAAATCCTGTTCTGCAGATGCATGGACCAGCAAAAGGTCCCCAACGACTGGAAAATGACATATGCGAGTTCTATATTCAAAGAGGGAGATAACCACTGCACAAATAATTATAGGCCCCTGAGTTTTACCAGCATAGTGCTTAAAGTACTAGAGAGCATCATATGAGATGCTATGATGGACCATATGGTACGAAACAACCCAGTAAAGGAACGCCAACATGGTTGCACGCATGGTCGCTCGTGCTTGAAGCAATTACTCAAAGTGCTGGATGTGTGACCCAGATCCTGGAGCGTGGTGACAATAACGATAATAGATAATACGTACACGATGATAAGTTATTCAAGAAAATTAAGAACCAAACGAAATTTAAAACTCTACAGGAAGATTTATGTTAGCTTCAGAAATGGTCAAAGGAATGGCTGTCTAGATACAATGTCATAAAATGCAAAAGGATGCACCAAGGCCACACCAACAATAAGGAGGTGTACCACATGTCCCAACGGGATGAAGAAATATTTACCGTGACCCTGTGAAAAGGACCGGGGTGTTTTTGTTGACAACAAACTAACGTGTTCGACCATTGTGTGAGGAAGGTAAGTAAATTAAATAAGTAAGTCTTAGAAAAAGAGCTCTCACACACCTCGACTGTCCATCCCTCATAACGCTCTTTAAAACCGATGTACTTTACCGTTTGGAAATCTGCCAGGTTCCCAAGATATGCTAGATAGTGTCAGTTGATTGAAAATGTCCAAAGGAAGGACACCAAACAGGCACCTCAGGTACCCAGCAACGGATGCCTTAATAGAAGTCTATAAATACCTCAGAGGACATTACTCAGTCCAGTGTTCATACCTGGAACTAGCAGATGCTAGTTCATTCGGGTCACAGCTTAATATTGAAGAATCCACAAGTTAAAAAAATGTCAGGGCAAACTTTTTTGGAACAACCTGCAAGAGAGTGTTGTGACGGCACCGAGTGTGAACTCATTCAAGGACAGACTTGACCAATAAAGGCGCAGGTACAGATACATAATGGGACCAGTGTGAACTGGCTCTTAAACGTTGATTCTTGATGAGTTAATGGGGGCTGGAACATGTAAAAAGTATGTAGGGCTTTTAGTAGCGAAAACCCAACTCTCTTTTCTTTATTTATTAGGAAAATATATTATTTACAGTTCCATAATTATATCACCATAACTTAACCACTCTAGTTATGAGTGTTAAATGAGGACAGAGGCTAACTTAAATAGCTCTGATAAGTACGTCCTGTCGATGTGAGAGTTTGAGTGAGAATGCCCCCAGTGTAGCCGGCTTCTATTACCTGACCTAGCATTTTAGGGTCCCGCCTCAAGGGTAGAACTTACCCTTCACGTGATGTGACCATGTCACCTCTTAGCTAGTGGAAAGTTACTGGGGGAGATATGATTAAATAAGCTGAATGCACTGCCCCACATTTATATAAAGATTAAGAGGCTAATACATCGCTCGGTCACCACCTTCCGAGCTTCCACAAAGAATTAATTAGTCTCGCAGAATACATCCCATACGTAAACCTAACCATGTTACAACCATATGTGGAGGCACTAAACAGGGGACTCTGGAACCTTAGGTTCACTAATTACTGGGGTCCTAAACTTAAGTGTCTTACGGGATAGTATATTATGTACAATGGTCAACTTGGAAGATACTGACTTCTAGTAACAAAATAAAAATATCACCACCAGTGAGAATGGTTAAACTAGGAATAGCAAATCCTCGTGCAAAATATAATGGCAAATGATCTTCTAAATTAGGAACTGTGACTCTTTCAAGTAAGAAATAACTTTTAACTTCTCTGAGACAATATTGAGTTTACTAATAGTTAAATTACGAACTTGATGCAGTTGAATTAAATCTGAAGAAAGACTTAAATTCAATGCAATATGCTGATGAGAAGGCAAGGTCTTCAACGAACTACAAGTTATTTCACAGCAACCCGGAGCCTAATAATAATCTTTCACAGCTAACTGTTTATCATCATCTTGGCACTTTAAAATGACGTTAGTTTCATCAGGAAAGAAAAAATACTGCACAGTATGCACACGTCCAAGAAACTGGGTTTTTTCTATAAATCTGTGTATAACTACATTGTGTTAGCACTGTGTGTACGTTAGTTTGTATGAGTGTCAATTCACATATTACTTCTGCAGCAGGTATAAATGCGAATACTTAGGCTGGACATACGTGTAAGTGTAAATGTGACGATTTACACCGTGATAGTACCCTAGGATCATCCAATGCTAACAAGGAGTAATCTTCATCAATTAGAAAAATCTCTTTTGGTCTATCCAGATTGAACAGTGAGTCATTAAAATACCAAGGAAAGGGTTCCAAATGCCATGCATTAAATTTGCGTTGCCCTAGCATAGGTATGTGGATAAGAATTGGGTTGTGCATGAGAGTGGACTCCAACAGAGGGTAATAATATTCTACCTCATGATCTGTGAAAATTGGAGTTAAATGATAAGTCGTCTTTGCTATTTTTAATGCTTCAAGAAGAGTCTTCACAGGCACAAGCTTTGAATCCACTCGTCCTAACCCTGCATCCACG